CTCTTGGACGGTTGGTCCGGTCCGACGGAAACTTCCCGTTCCACTTCCAAAAATTTTCGTTTCCAGTCCTACTTTGCTAAGCAGCAATCAAAATTTCGGCCGAAACGCAAATGGATCGTTTCGATGTGATTGACGCTGTTTCAATTGAACAATGTCGTTCCATTTTCTCTTGATGATTCCACTAATCATGATTGTTTGGTCTGGCAAATGGAAACATTCATAGCCAGCGTTGCAGCCGCCCCACGGACGCATCGCCTGGACTATTGGTATAGTTCGTCTAGCCTACGAATAGCCCACGTTCGATATATTAAAATTCTAACATGACTCCGAGGCTTTCTGGTCATTTTTGTATATTTCGTTTGGTTTTCTTTGCGCTCAAGTCTCTTCTGGAAATTGCGAGACAATGGAGTGGTGAAATATTGCAATTTTGACCCTAAAACCTCGGAGTCCTGTTAGAATTTTAATATATAGAACGTGGGTTATTAGTGCACAAAAGCTATGGTGCACTAATTCGCAAACCCTCTATACAGCGGTTTCTTATTCTCTAATCAACCAATCGAAATTATCGACCTTAAAGTTACTAACAAAAATGTAAAACCGGTTAAACCAACTAAAAATAGCACATGACCTTATCTTAATGAGATTCTTGCGCATTTTATTAATGAGATAAAGACAAAAGGTTATGACGTCTTCGGTGTGGTATTTTATTTATTCACATAGGTATACATGTGATGTAATAGGTTCTTGTTTGACATGTTCTAGAACAAGTTTTTCAATAGGAAATAAATAAAATAATGAAGGGTGGCCTAACATATATATCCTTTTCTAGAGTGCTCAACTTTCAGAAGCAATAAAGCCATGTATAGTGTCACGCGGGTAAGCTTTTAGAGGACGGGTAGCTTGCAAACTAAACTGAACGCAGGGTTGTCGGAACAGCAACAAGAAGATTTATTCCAAAATGAACGTATTTTCCACGAAATAAAACTCCACAACAGCACGTAACTCGTTACACTTACACGGCCTCCGCCAACTTGAATAAACTTGATAAACTTATACGGCCTCCGCCAACTTGGATAAACACTGCTTTCGTCACACTTGACTAAACACGACTAACGTCGAACTCTCCTCGCTTGTGAAAACTAGTTAGACCTTAACTCGGGCTCACCTACTTATATATGTTTACAATAAGATTCTAGAACTTTCCAAATAGTCTAATTATAGAAAGATTACAAAATATACCGCTTTAGGAACGCTTACGCAAGATCCTAAAATAAACAAGCTACGAACTCTCGCGAAGCTTCTAGAAAGTCATGCTAGTCACGCAATACAATTTTTCGTAACATAACCCCCTTTCAGAAGAAATTTCCTAAATTTCCAATACAACAGAAAAATTGTAAGCTAATATACAACAGGGGTAGTCCAGTGTCTCTCAGGTTATTCTTCTACTCGACTAAGATAATCCGCTCCAACATTCTCTGATCCTTTGATGTCTTCCACCTTGAAATTGTAACTTTGTAGAAACATCGCCCATCGCATGAGTCGTGCGTTAGTATATTTTGCGCTGTCCATGTACTTCAGCGGCTCGTGGTCTGTCTGCAGCACAAAAGGTACACCGTACAAATATAGATGAAATCTCTTGATTCCCATACAATCGCTAGGCATTCTTTCTCGATTGTAGAGTAGTTGCGCTCCGCACTCGACAATTTCTTGCTTGCGTAACAAACCGGGAATAATTTCTCATCGTGCCATTGCATCAATACTGCACCGATTCCATTGTTGGAGCCGTCCGTCCGTAAGAAATAGGTTTTAGCTGGATCGGGAAGACGTAGAATAGGTGCACTTGTTATGTAGGACTTGATTGTTTGGTAGGCTTTCTCTTGTGCTTCACCCAACTCAACTTTATTGGGTTGGCCTTTCCGTGTGAGATCAGATAAGGGCGCCGCGATCGCTGCGAAGTTGGGAATGAAATCTCTGTAGTATCCTGCTAGACCCATAAATGACCGCACCTGTTTCTTTGTGCTTGGCCTTGGGGCATCTTTAATTTTCTCCACGTTATCCTGATGTAGACCAATCATTCCTTGCTCCAATCGATGGCCTAGGAAATCCACACTGTTTACTCCGAATAGGCACTTCGTAGGTCTAATAGTCAACCCAGCTTGTACAAGGCGCGAAAGCAGCTCTCTGAGGGCTCTGATATGTTCTTCCCACGTACGGGTGTGAACCAATATATCATCCCAGTAGAAGTCGACATCATCTAGATCTTCTATCAATTCTTCATTGCACGCTTCAGTGTTTCCGCCGAGTTAATCATTCCAAACGGCATCTTCAAGAACTCGTACGACCCGTCAGTTGTTACGAAAGCAGTTTTCGGAATGTCCTCCTCTGGTATAGCTATCTGCCAGTATCCCTTGCTAAGGTCAATTTTTGAAAAGAATTTGTCTCCGCTAAGCTTCTGGAACAAGTGTTCAGCAGTTGGCATAGGCTCAGGATCAAATACAGTTAGTTTATTTAATTTACGATAATCTACGCACACGCGGTTTGTGTTGTCTTTTTTCTTCACTACTACAACCGGTGACGCGTACGGAGAACTGGACTCTCTAATAACTCCCATTTTGATCATGTCAGTGATATCTTTTCTCACTGATTCTCTCATGCTGTAAGTTACTGGGTAAGGTCTTGATCTAACTGGCTCGTCTGAGGTGAGTTTAATATGATGCTGAACGAGATCGGTGGTACCTGGTGCTTCAGTAAACAAATTTGTGAACTGGTTAGCCAGATCCTTAAATTCTCTTCGTTGCTCGTCCGTAAGATTCGGTCCAGTTGTAACATCCTCAATTGACTCCTTGGCTACATATCCACCAAGCTCTAGGAAATCAACCTCTTCTTCCTCTGCTTCATCAACTTTAGCTTCACAGTCGACAGCATCGTCTATACTCGTAGCGCCTGCTCCAACAGCTACTGCTCCTTCGACTGCAGTCTCCTCTCTCTCAAAATACTTTTTAAGGAGGTTAGCGTGGTAAACTTTCTCCTTGCCTTTTACTTTCACTTTGTAGTCGTTGAGACCTACTACTGAACTAACTTAAGTTAGTTCAGTAGTAGGTCTCAACGGCTACAAAGTGAAAGTAAAAGGCAAGGAGAAAGTTTACCACGCTAAGGGACCTTTCCACTGCATAAGTAACTCGTTATGGTCGGTAGGTAGCAGCACCAGCACTTTCTCACCTGGTTGAAACTTCCTAACCTTAGACTTGCGGTCGTAGTAGTGCTTTCTTTTCTGCTGGGCTTTCTCCAATTCACTATGGGCGAGCTTCAGGGTATCTTCTAACTTCTCTCGCAACTCGAAAACGTACTGGTAACTGTTCTTCACTTCAGGCTCCTCAACTTCTTTCGTCCACAGCTGTTTGAGTATAGTCATTGGTCCTCTAACAGCTCTTCCATATAACAGCTCCAACGGCGAAAAACCAGTGGACTCTTGGGGGACTTTCTCGATAAGCAAACAACAGTGGGTTTATGTAGCCATGCCATTGTCTTGGCTGCTCACTACACAGTCTCTTCAACATAGACTTCATCGTTCCGTTGAACTTCTCCGTCAGTCCGCTACACATCGGGTGATAGGGTGTTGTTGTAAGCTGTTTAATGCTTAGTAGTCGGGTGACTTCTCTCATGCACTCCGAGACAAACTGTGGATTTCAGGATTTCTTCGGGTACTCCAAGACGGCTAAAGATATCCACCAATGCCTCTGCTACAGTCTCCGTATCAATATTCTTTAGTGGTACAGCCTCAGGGCAGCGAGTCGAAAAAATCTACCCGCGTCAAGATGTACCTGTGTCCTTCTTCACTCGGAGGACTGATAGGCCCAACAAGATCTATTGCCACTCTCTTAAAGGGCTTGTCAATCAGCGGCATCTTCTCTAACGGTACCTTCGGCACTGATCCCTTTACTTACGGTCTTCTGACAGACGTCGCAGGACTTGCAAAACCGAGTCACGTCACCTTGAATTCTAGGCCAATAAAACGCACTCTGGATCTTGTCTGTTGTTTTCTTTATCCCCATGAGACCACCCATGCTCGATCAGTGAGCTACTTACATTATGGGGCGCCTCAACTTTTCAGGTACCATGACTTGTTTAAGCGGTTTTCCACCATTCACATAAGGGTGCTTGTACAAACGGTACAGTACTCCACATTTTCTTCAAATGAAATCTCCGCCTGACCCTTTACTAGCACATCGTCTCGATCCCAGTACTTGCGCAGACCCTCATCCTCACGCTGCATCTGCTTGAGCTTCTCTCTGTCCACAATAGGGCTCTCACGGCTACTTGGCACCTTCAAGGCTGTACGTTCATCCTTTTTCTTAGCTTGACTTCTTGTAGTTACTGCACAGGCCTCTTGCCAACTGGGGTCTGGATTTTGTGCGTCCCTGGCATCAGGTACGTTGCCAATAATAAGGTCGTAGATAGGATCTGAAAGGCACCGCGCTTCTTCGTGGCCCTTAAGATAAGGCGTACCGACATAAATTCTTGCTATGGGCACCTTCCTTGCACTGTTGTCAATAAGCAACATAACGTTAAAGTCTCCGTTGAACTGATCCTCGCCGACAAGGTCCTTCTTGACTACTACTCCACTGCAACCAGTATCTCTTAAAACGTCAACAGTGTTCTCTCCAACTCTACCTTTTACAACAGGCATCTTACTTCTTACTCCAGTTAAGGGTTCAACACAGGCATTACTCAGCAACGGCACTTTCTTGCCACAGGCTAACAGAAGCTGATCATTTTGAATACACGACTTGACTTCCTCGGGGGTAGCGTTAAGATCGGGTGACTTAACCAAACAGCCAGCACTAACTTGACCACGTTGCACAGGCTTACCATGCTTACCTTGGCCTCTTGACTTTCGTCCACCTGATCGACAGTTCCTCGCTTCATGACCTTGCTTGCCACAAAGGAAACACCTTTTAGCTAGAGTTGGGCAGTTTATAGCTTTGTGTCCGCGGGCAGTTACACTTGTAACACTGGAGGGCTGTTGTATCACTCTGTGCAGTCTTTGTTTCCTCCACCTTAGGCTGTACTTGTGGCTTCTTGCTCGCAGAGCTGAACAGATGCTTCCCGTGTGCTTCTAAGTACTGATTGGCAATCTTTGCTATCTGAGCAAGCGTTTCCGGAGCTCTTTCACGGAGGTGAATAGCTAACTCTTTTGGACAAGAATCGATGAACTGTTCTTTCACTATTAAATCTTTCAGGCCTTCAAAAGAACGTTCAGTGTTCGACAGCTCTAACCAACGTAGCAAGTATCTATCCAGTCTCACTATGAACTGTTCAGGACTGTCGTCAACTTCCGGCTTTGATGCTCTAAATTTACAACGATAGCCATCTTCTGTAAGGTCATATCTCTTCATCAAAGCTAACTTCACTCGATCATAATCTTGGGCTGCTTCCTCAGATATTCGCGAATAAACCTCTAGGGCACGTCCAGACAAAAGAGCGCTAAGTTTCGAGGCCCATCCTGTCTTCTCCCATTTAGCCGTGGTTGCGAATCTCTCAAATCGTTGTAGATAAGCATCCAAGTCGTCCTTGCCATCAACAAATGAGGGAAGCTTAGGTGCCTTGGCCCTATCCTCTCTCACTTCAGCACGTTCAGTATCGTTACGGCCTTGTGCTAGACGAGCGAGCTCTAGTTCATGCTCTCTCTTAGCGGCTTCAATAGACTCTCTCTGTTTCAACAGGTCTGCTTCCAGCTCTAATTTCCTCAGTTCGCGTTCTTGCCGCCTAGTTTCTCTTTCTTCGTCTTCTTTTCTTCTATCTTCCTCAAGCATTCGACGTTTCTCCTCTTTTTGTTCTTCTAACAGTCTACGCTTTTCTTCTTTTTCCTCTTCCAGTTGTCTACGTTTTTCCTCTTTCTCTTCCTCCTCCCTCCTTCTTTCTTCCTCAAGTTTTCGACGTTTTTCTTCCTTTTCTTCTTTTTCCCTCCTTCTTTCTTCTTCTAACTTTTGTTGTTCCCGCACAAACTCGAGCAGTTTTTCTCCTTCCAATCCGAACTTTTCTCCAATCTGCAAAAGCTTTTCCACTTCCATAGCAGTAGTTCACAGCAAACACACTCGATATACTTCCTCGTAGCAGTTCTTCTTACTCCACCGCATACTCTTTGTTCTTGAACTGTCCTTTCCTGGTTACTGTAGTCGGCAAACAATTGAATTCCTCTCCCGGACAGGCCTCCAATGTCACGCGGGTAAGCTTTTAGAGGACGGGTAGCTTGCAAACTAAACTGAACGCAGGGTTGTCGGAAGAGCAACAAGAAGATTTATTCCAAAATGAACGTAGTTTCCACGAAATAAAACTCCGCAACAGCACGTAACTCGTTAAACTTACACGGCCTCCGCCAACTTGAATAAACTTGATAAACTTATACGGCCTCCGCCAACTTGGATAAACACTGCTTTCGTCACACTTGACTAAACACGACTAACGTCGAACTCTCCTCACTTGTGAAAACTAGTTAAACCTTAACTCGGGCTCGCCTACTTATATATGTTTACAATAAGATTCTAGAACTTTCCAAATAGTCTAATTATAGAAAGATTACAAAATATACCGCTTTAGGAACGCTTACGCAAGATCCTAAAATAAACAAGCTACGAACTCTCGCGAAGCTTCTAAAAAGTCACGCTAGTCACGCAATACAATTTTTCGTAACATATAACCTCTGAAGCCCGAAACTACATTTGCATTAAATTGTTAGTCTCGCAGTTTACCTATTTTTCCTCTACTATTGCATTGCAAACTGTCAAATAGCATTTCAGTTTGTTTGCAACATATTGTTAACTGAGACAAGTAATTTTTTTTTTTAAATAGAAGTCATTCTGTCCTTTTGATAAAATAATTCATACAGAACAAGATTTTTATACATTGCTTTGGGTATCAATGAATGCCAGGTTTTTTTATTTCGACCATCAATATCAAAGGGGGGAGGGGGGAAGGTCTTGGCAAATCTTTTGGTCCAAAATTCCAGAGCCCAAGCCCTTTGTTTTATGGTTTTTACTTGTAGGATCAGTCTATCTGATTCCCTTGAGACAGAGGCTAGCCTACAGAGTATTTATTTACGTAGCTTGTAGTATTGTAGTGGTTTCTCTTGAAGTAAGAGCACTGGTCTTCCTGCATAACCTTTGTTATATCAACAACAATTAACTAACATTAAAATTTTAACAGTTGTTGACGGGTACAACGCCACTCTGTTTTGAGCTCTATCAGCGGGTGTCGTGTTTGTCTTGAAAAGTTACCTGTGTAATTTTCACGTAGGATGTTCAGCCTTGCAGAATTCACTGTGTCTATTACTTGGTATATTTTTCGTAAGATAGATCCATAGATCCTGTGTTTTTCAGCATATTTGTTTGCGGTTTTTTGCAGATTAAGAGGCGGTCCGTGTAAGAATGGACCACTCGAATTTCCTTGGGAAACAGAATTCCTTCATTTTTTAATAGAATTTGTTTGGTTCAAGGTGCTTTTTTAAAAAAAAAATTGGGCGGCGATTCGCCTGGACGGTCCAAAGCTGTCATGATCGTCTCTTTTAAGGTCAAATTTAAGCGTTTTGTTCAAGGCTCGCAAAAATTTCGCATTTATCCAAATAGCATAAAACAAAAGTATGATTTTAATTCATGCTTCCTTTATTCAAAAAAGGCAAAATGTTTAAATTCTGACCCTCCAAAAAAGGAATCATGATGTTTTGAAAATACCACGTAAAGCGTCCTTGATAAAATTGCGCGCTTATCCTAGTTTTAAAATGAGCTTTTTTTCAAAAGTCTGACTTTATCTGGAGTCTTGGTCACTATCGCTGTTCAGTACTAAGGGTTAAGTGTACTGAAATCACGAAAAACATTTTTGGGCACTGTTGATTTCGAAGCACAAGAGTTCGATAAAGTTGGGTAACATTCTACTGTAATTGTGCGTATGACGTAATTTACGCATTTTCTTGATTCCGAACTTTCCTGCTATAAAACTAAAAATCATTACTGTCAGGGAGCAACTATTTTCAAAACTAACTTAATGCTGGGGAAAAACAGTGAATGTCTTAAAAACCACTACATATTGTCCTAAAATTGGGATGTTACAAAAAAAAGTAGCAGCTTCGGTGAATGTTAGGCCCAGTTCAGACGTCGTGCTTCTGCCGTGCCGAACTTAATTGTAATTTGGTTCGACTGTAGCACGGCAGGAAAACAACTTTGATTCAGACGTCGTGCCAGAGTCGAACCAAATTCAGGATTTACTGATGCCTCGTAACAATTCTTCTCCCAACTCCCCGTGGGAACGCAATCTCGCCAAAATACATTAATATAATTTATGAATTTTGTTTAGCGCGGCAGAAGCACGACGTTTGAATCGCTGCCGTGCCAGAGCCGTGTAGCACGGCAGCGCTTGTCGAACTTAATTGCTTGCCGAACTTAATTCAAAAGTTTGATTCAGACGCCGTGCTTCTGCCGTGCTTTTGTCGAACTTAATTCCTGAATTTAGTTCGGCACGGCAGAAGCACGACGTCTGAACTGGGCCTTACTATGTCAAGTTGTGGCTAAACAGTTAAGAAATTTCGTTGAGGGGGGTTTAGACGGTAAAAAAATTAAAATACATTATGAATAGATTTATCGTGTAATTACCACCTCAAAAGTTATGACACGATTCAGCAAAGAAATAGTTTACCAAAATGTACCGAATTTTCTAGCCACAAGTTTTTGCGTGCAGACGACATCATTTATATTGTGTCTGAGGATGTCAATTTCAGATTTCAGTTTGCAGTGCAAAACATGTTGGATGTTATTTTATCGAAGCTGAAACTACTTATCAGGCTTAACGAGGTAAAATAAACAAAGTACAAAAAACTGGCTACTATTAAGAATAAAAATGATTTGCTGGTTTACTATTTCTTCAAGTTTTTAATTCAATTTAAGTTAATTTTTCTGGCGTCGTTCACTTAATTTAATTTCGTATGCAAATTTGCAACACAAAACGTAGAGCGTATTTACATTGTGCCGAGATGGGGTCCGTGCACACTTCGGCCAACCTAATTTCCCATTTTTTCACCAAAAACGGAAAAAAGAACTATTACTTATCCATATCATATCTACATATTTTAAAGTACAGAAAAAAATTGAAAAATAGAAAATAATCAGGAAAATTGATCCTTTTTTCATTTTTCTAATTTTGAAGTCCGCTTCAAAAATAGAAAAGTACTGTAAATGGCTAAAAACAATATTTTGCTATTTTTTATTTTCTTGCTATTGTTAGAAAATGAGAAAAATGAAATAATCTCCGATTCCTAACTCGTTTTTCTGTCTTTCAGTTTTTCATAAAAAAAATAGAAAAATGGAAAAATGAAAAAAAATATTATTCATTCGCACCATTTTTTCATTTTTTTCCATTGTGTTCGAAAAATGAAAAAAATAGTAAAGTAGCATACCTACCGCCCAATTTTCCATAATTCCATTTTAATAAGAAAAATGAAAAAAATGACAAGTGTTGCGAGCAATTTTCTATTTTTCCATTTTTTTTTAAATAAATAGACACTTTTTTATTTTTTCTATTTTGTTGAAATATACCTAATTCGTACCCACTTTCGACTGACTAATTTGGTTAGAAGATTTACACAGGGTCGGTGGAGATGTGGGGGAATTTTTTTTTCTGGTGGGGTGGGGGGGGCTTTACTTTTCGAGATGTGGACGTAGTTCCATTCGCTTTTGAAGCTGATTAAATTTTCTCGATTTCCCTGAAGGTTTGAGTTGTCGGTAGTCGACTGTGGATGAAAGTGACAGGAAAACCGTACCGTACCGGCCGAAAATGAAGAATATTAGAAAGGGTACGAGGGAGGAGCCAGAGAAGGTGTGAAAATTGGTACGGGAAAGGAGGGTGTAACTCAACGGTTTTAATGCCAGCAACACTATGGTCCCAGCACAAAAAAAAAAAGCGGTTCGTGAGAGAGATTAAGGGAAGGAGTTAAGAAGAAAGTCGTTGAACAGACACATGCACAAAATAAATAAAGAGCACTCCCAGTAGAGAGGTCAGACCCTTTTAAATGAAATAGATGCTCAAAAGTAGACTGCTCAGCCTGCCGAAATATCGGATCTTGCTGTAGAACGGGTGTTTTAGGATTGCAAGAGTAAATATATTGAATTAATATTATGGAGGAGAAACATCACGAGGCGCCTAGTATACACTCGCGGGAGAGAACATCTTAATGCTCTGGCCCCATACATTTGTTTAAACGTTGGATAGCGACGGTCCACTGGAATAACTCACTATCCAGCGGCCTGATAATTTTCTATGTATTTTAGGGAAACCAATTGTGTTATCCACTGGATAGTTATTTATCCAGCGGATAGCGTTTAAAAAATCCACCTTTTAAGAGTGGTTGTCTGAGAAAACCGGGCAAAATGTTAAAAAAGTCAACGGAAGGGGGTCAACAGAATAAGCTCATACTAACATCATAGATAGGTTAGGTGGAGTAATGGACAAATATAATAAACATAGGTTCTTCACTGCTCTTGTATTAGAGATACGAGCATCACTTTGTTTGACCCCCTCCGACGCCATTTTTGTAAGCAAATTTGACCATTTTGTGAAGCTCACAAACTCCCCAAAATTAAACAAGCGAAGTTCATTTTTTCTGTGCGGCACAACACAACACAAGACTATCTTCGAAAACCATAAACGTTGTTAGGTAGCCACGGGCAAGACTAAAACTTCCTTATTTTTCCTGACCTAAACTCAATGTCTGCAAGCGAACAAAAAATCGGTCGGTTTTGAATTGATCTGTAGCGCACAACTAAAAGGATAATAATAATCTGACAGCCAAATTGCAGTCTACTATCATCCATGTTACCAACACACTAATAATCATTTTGGCTCGTTGGAACAGGAAGAAATTAGAAAACACACATTTGTCATAGTTGCCAACCTTTTTCTTGAAAATAGGCCGATCCCTTTGTCTTTGTTTCAAGTCCCCTTCAGGCTTCTTCTTCCCTGTTTCGCTGCCAGCTATGGTCAGCAGGTAAAGGAAATATCAAAAAGCTCGAAATACTGCCATTGTTTCATATTGAAACGGCTAAAAGGCTGAACCATGGAATAAAACTAGAAAATAACAAAGCGAAGCCATCTTGAAAATCCAGTACTCGGGAGGGACTGGCACTAGTAGTTGCCTTGTCTCCAAACTCGGCAACGAATAATAAGGTAAAAGACAAGAAACAAACGACTCAGTAAATAAATGCACACTTCCTATACAAAACACAAACATTATCAGCTACTTGCTCCAATATTACTTCTGTTTATTAAATTTTGTTTGTTCACTTCTGGGTTGTGATTTTTTTTTTCGCAGAGTGAATGGGGCGGAGAATGGGATCAGGCGGTCCTTCTTCTCTTTCTCCTTCGGAGGCGAAAATGAAAATTAAGAACTCCTGATCGTAGGTTAGTGGGTGATTAACGCGAATTGCTTCATCCATTCTACCTTTGGTTTATCCCGTGAATGTGGATAACATTCACCTTATGGTTTACTGGGAATCAATTCACCTTGTTTCATATCTTATGCAGGAGCTCATTTTACAGGTCTGTAGGTTTTGCGGTCTGGTTTGTGGGACTTATAAGGTATTTAAAATTCGCGTCAAAGTTGTTCTAAAAATAGCCTGGTTAGTGACCGATGACGTCAAAAGTGCAGCTTTCTTACAGGTTAATGCACCGTTAACCAAGAAGACCTGGGGACGAGGTTGAGTTGTTTAGGCTGTGAAAACAAAAATGGCCGACATTTAACTCGTTTCAAGAGTAAGAACAAGGCGAAATAATAGCTAAAAACATGGCAAGAACAGCAAGAAGACAACTCGAAGGGCGACATCTGCTATTTGGAGAATATTTGCGGAGCTGAACAACCCTAAACGTACACTATCGAAAATAAAATTAACATTGATGGAGGTAAGCATGTTTTAGCTATGTTTTTAAACTAGGAAGTATTTTGAATGAATAATAAAACAATTATTGAATTCGGCTTTCGTATCCTCTGCAGAAATATGGAGGTCTTGGAGGGTGTTATCCGCCTCGGCCTATTGCCTCGACCGATATTACCCTCCTCGACCTCCATAATTCTTCATAAGATACTCAGCTCCATTCATTAATTAATAATTAATTCATTCGATCATTCACTACATTTTGAGTTATCCCGCAAAAGTCGTAGCATTTCTTTCTTTCAACTCTTTGGTCTTTAATTTAATTTTAGGATTAGAGGTGTTGACGTTTTTATTATATTCGTCTATTGTTGCGTCATTCTCCGATCACCGTCCACGGCTGATCATCCACTCGTCTCCCATTCTTTTCAAGCACCGAGCTCAGTAATAAATGATGTTGCTGGTGACCCTTTTTCTTCTACCTTACATGAAACGGTAGGCGCATTCCTTATAGTAGCCTACAGTATGCAGGAAGGCTCCGCCCGAAAGGCTACCTCTTTCAGGCATCAGGAATAACATAGGGCGCTTTCCATTATACCAAAATTTTGGAAATTTTGGTCGAAAAATAAATGGGACGCTTTGGTGTGCGTGGAAATTTTCCGGTCAAAATGGTCCACCTCCGGAGGTGGTCCTCTTGGACGGTTGGTCCGGTCCGACGGAAACTTCCCGTTCCACTTCCAAAAATTTTCGTTTCCAGTCCTACTTTGCTAAGCAGCAATCAAAATTTCGGCCGAAACGCAAATGGATCGTTTCGATGTGATTGACGCTGTTTCAATTGAACAATGTCGTTCCATTTTCTCTTGATGATTCCACTAATCATGATTGTTTGGTCTGGCAAATGGAAACATTCATAGCCAGCGTTGCAGCCGCCCCACGGACGCATCGCCTGGACTATTGGTATAGTTCGTCTAGCCTACGAATAGCCCACGTTCGATATATTAAAATTCTAACATGACTCCGAGGCTTTCTGGTCATTTTTGTATATTTCGTTTGGTTTTCTTTGCGCTCAAGTCTCTTCTGGAAATTGCGAGACAATGGAGTGGTGAAATATTGCAATTTTGACCCTAAAACCTCGGAGTCCTGTTAGAATTTTAATATATAGAACGTGGGTTATTAGTGCACAAAAGCTATGGTGCACTAATTCGCAAACCCTCTATACAGCGGTTTCTTATTCTCTAATCAACCAATCGAAATTATCGACCTTAAAGTTACCAACAAAAATGTAAAACCGGTTAAACCAACTAAAAATAGCACATGACCTTATCTTAATGAGATTCTTGCGCATTTTATTAATGAGATAAAGACAAAAGGTTATGACGTCTTCGGTGTTAATTTATTTCCTCACAAGTTAATGGGCGGCATGAGATTCACCCGCAAAAAAAGGAGTAACCCTACTATACTACTGAGCTCCAGTGTCCAGATTAGTAGTTTCGGTTTTAAAGCGGTCTGAAGGAGTACTTTAACACAGTGTAAACGTTTTGAGAAAAATAAAAACCTAATAACAGAAGCCGCACGTTTTAACAAGGGCCTCGAATAAAGCGTTCCAAACTAAAATGTGGCGTTCCGATTCAGACAAATTCTGAGTAAAATGGCCATTACGTACTGAACGATTTTGCTATTCCGAAAGATGTAGGCAATTTGTAACGAATAAAATGGGAAGTCCGTGAAGTATTCGAGATTTAGACATGGCTTTTTTCATAGAGACCATCTCTCCTCTTCTTTTGTTGTTTGGTCAATGTAGATGGATGTTCTGTGCATCTCGATTGCTGCTAACATTCCATTTCCTAACCAAAAAAGTGAAAGAGATTTTTCTTATATGACACTTGGCACAACATAGCAAATATAATTATTTACCATTTCCTATGCCAATGTAAAAAATTAGATCCCCCTCCAATGAAAAGGTTTTGACAAGAAACGTATAGAGTTCCCTTGGCATCCCTGGCCTTTTTCTCTCATCATGATTTTCAATCTCAATGATATTTGTTGTGGACCTGGCCACATGCCTCTCTGTTACAGTTAGCTCCCTGGACACTGCCCAGTGACCCACAATGAAAGACTGAACCACCTCAGTCAT